AGCAGCGCTGTCCAACTTATCATAGCCCGCGGGCCATATTTTCTTCACCAATCATTTCGGGGGCCAAGAAGGTTGGTGATGGCTAATTGGTCGGCCGGGAACACGCCACATGACATTTGCATAGTGCTACGGTCTGTAAGCACTAATTGGTCAGCGAGTCCGATGTTGACGCTATAAAAAGGCGACAGTTCGACACACCGGATATACGTCACTCTCGTCTAAGTTCGACTTGGGAATTTTGTTCAATAATAAATGTGAATTCTTCTTCCTGGAAAAAATAAGACCTAGCGCATTTTTCAAAACAAAAATTAATATAAGACACTGTCTTATTTTCGGGTAAACACGGTAGCAAAATAATTTTAATATTAATAATAATAATTTAGTAACATATATTTATTCATATTAAAATGTACTCGCGGGCCGTAAAAATTATTTGGTGGGCCGTATATGGCCCGCGGGCCGCCAGTTGGACAGCGCTGGTCTAGATGGGAGTTTTCGGAGTTATTTGGCAACCCCCCTGGCAACAGACCAGGGACCAATGAAGTTTCAGGGGACCACCATTTGGACCAGCCAAAACCTCAGGATTTTGGATGAAAATCCTGAGGTTTTGGCTGGGATCCCAAAGGATCCCAAGGATATGAGGAGGTTGTGATCGAGAACATCCATCCATGTGCATGGCATTGTAGATTACAGCACTCCAAAAAAGAACAAAGGAGAAACCCCAAAGATTCCGAGTGCAGGGGCAACAGAGGGCTTAACTTCCTGATGATGTTTTTTCCACTCTGGAACCTCCCACATCCAAATCTTGTTAGAGCATCTCTGGAAGGATGGACGAACACTCACTGGTTGATGCAAGCTTTCCGGATCAGCTGAAACAAACTTTCCTCCTAAGAATTACAGTACATCCTTTAATCTTGTCTGTAAACATGATGTTAAAATAAATGCATTCATTTTGTCATTTCAGTCTCTGTGTGGATCTCTTTGCATCCTGCAACCACTATCCCCATACGTCTAAAAGTTTTCTTGCGTCATCCTAACGGATTGCGGGAAAAGCGAGGGTCAGGGCCAGTGTTCCATCCTCACAGTAGAAGAAAAGCTTATTTTTAAGAGCATATCAACTTTAGTACTTAATGCTTAAACTGTTGTTGTTATTTTCTTATTTCTAAACTGCTAAGTTTGAAATCTAAATAAATAATTTCTATAATATAAATTATATTTGGAAAATTCGTTAACTGAATAATAAGTGATTATAATTAAAAACAAAATTATTCCAAATGCATAACCTATTAAATAAATAATCTTTTGGGTTCCCAACCTGTGGCTCATGGTCAAATATAGCTCTGAAGCATATTTATATGGCCTGTATAGCTCGTTTTCACCAACATGTTTTGACTGTTGATGATAAAAGAAACTTTATGCAAAGTTTTGAACAGTTAACTAGAATTAATAATCCTTGCTGCAAAATATTTTTATAAAAACTTATTTAAAGAAGAGAGTTTTTGAATTTTTACAAATCTCTGCAAGAAGAAAATTTTGTCTTAAGAGTTTATAGTTCTACATATCTTTACAAACAAACCTTTTCAAAAATGACAGTGTAAAAAATCAAAATATCAAACATTACTATCCAATGAACATCTAAAAGATATTTTAATATTCTGTGTCATAAAATGTATCTCTAATTTTGATCATTCTTTCAAAAAAAAAGTTATAAATTTTATATTAATTTATGTTTGTTGTTATTCAAAAATAAAAAACTCATAATCTTTCTATCATTCATATCTGACCCCCAAACCTGTCTTTTACAGGTCATTTGGCTCTTCTCAGTAAAAGGTTGCAGACTCCTGCATGTGAATTGTGTTAAAAATCCAAAAACTTGGAAGCATTTTATCTTGGATTTTTGAAATTACTATTTTGTAATAGAGACTTCCAGTATCAGATCTAGAAGAGATCAAAACTTAAAAATATTTGAATATATACAGTTTCTAGTTGCCATCATAAACGTTTAAAGTTTATTTGTTCAAACTTTTTTTTTAATTTTTTGATGTCAATGGGAGGGCTTATAGTCACTCTTGAATCTGACTCTTGGAGTCTTCCATTATATCAGTAGATTAAATATCTGAGATTTATTAACAAATAAGCTTAAACAAATAAAGTAACTTTGAAAAATATACATAAATTATTTAAATACCATTCTATTGTCAGCAGCATTTTTGTTATTTGTCTTTAAACACATTTAAAGCAAATGCTAATAAATATTTTCAATTGTTGTTTTTACCTATGATGATAAGAATTTTTTTGGCTAATAGATTTCAAATACAAAAAATCTTAATAACTAAAAAAGCTTATCTTTTCTGACTTCATAGATAATGAGTCCAAAGCCAAGTTAAATTCCATTTTGTTCTAATTAACTGATTACATAATTATATAGATCATATATAAAAATTTAAACAATGGTGTTTACACAAAAAATTTTATCATTATTAAAAAAAGAAAAGTTGACAATATCCAATGACAAATAAACATTTCACAAATCACTTTTTAATAGTTTCAAGTTTCATTTCATTCATGTACAATACTTGAGTTGTGCCTTATCTGATACTCTGTGTAGCAATTTAGTGTTTCATAGTTCAACATGAACGTCCTCATTATTCACATATGTCGCTAATGCCATTGTGGTCAGCTGTTTTCTTATTGAGTATTCGTGTTCTTTCATCCTCATGGCGAGACCTATTGCCAATGCTCCAATGTATGTTAATGCATGGTTAACCCAGTCATCTTGAAGAAAAACTGCATAAACCCCTGGAGAATTAGAATCTTCTATACGGTTTTTATCATTTCTGATGAGAGAGAAGACTGTCAGAGAGCGTCTATATGCTATGTGTATTTTAGTGGTCCTTGCAATCTCTCTATACATATATTAGAAAGTGTTTTGTTGTATGTGATAACCCCATCTGTTCATCTTGTGGAATATTAATTTTAAATTTTAACGCAACATATTCGAATTACGTAGTTAAATGGAACTTTTAAAAACATTCTATTCTACTAGGCATTAGTTTGATATCGTCAATACCTGAGGATGTCTATTACATATAGATGAAAATGTTCATAACAAGAATTTTTCTGTTTGGTTATGAACTGGTGATGGTTTATTTGGTGAGTGCTATATAATTAAGCCTACAGTGTATGTAGGTTTAATTGCAGCTGAATTTCCATAAGCCAAGGAGCCCTAAAGTTGGGCTGAGAATGCCTTGGTTCAGACTCAAGCCCAAATGGGTAGTCCAGGATCTCATCTTCCTTGCTCAACTATCACATTTTACTTACACTGTATACAGCTATAAGCTGTTACAGTACTGCACCTTCTGAAATGAGCTTGACCATAGATACAATAGACAATGGGATCGTCTCTATATATGAAAGCAGGGGCCATATTCTGGTCACTGTCTCTCGTAAGCCGGTTGCTGATTGGCTAATCCAAATGATTAGCGAATCAGCAACCGGCTTACGAAAGACCAGAGACAGTGACTAGAATACGACCCCAGCTCTTCCTAGTGTCCACCAAGCTATAGTTTCAAAGATACTATCAAGTAGTACCATCAATTCCTTTAAAATCATCCAACAAACAGCCAAATTAACCAGGCAAAATTATGCTCATTGGAAGTCTCCAAGTTCCCTTTACTTCATGCAAGTACTGTATATGAAATACTTGGTCCTGTAACCAAATGTAATTGGCCCTTATATAAAAATTCTCAGTAAGAGGACAGTCAAGTATATAGTGTCATGCATCTCTGTATGAACATCCATAGGAGCAGCCATCAACTAACATCTTTCATAAAAATTAAAAACAGTCTTTACAGAAATCAAATTATATTATTTAATATCGTTGAAATGTTAAGTACTATTAAAATAATTTGACTACTGAAAAATCTACTTTTCAATTTTGCAAAAAAATGTCAAAATCAAGTATTTTGTCTTGTAATCTCAAATCTTCTTACGCGTATACTGGAAAATGTATCAATTAACACTCCTAAACCTTATAATTCCAGCAATAAACGTTTAATAGCAAACTAACGTCTTTGTACGTACACGTTTTCGTCTTGTAATCTATTTATTGTGATCTTCCTAAATGCAGAATTAGACACAGTATATCAAAACAATAAAAATAAATAGTTAAAGAACATAACAGAAACATTCGATTAGATTAGACTTCTATGATATTTACATTTTTAAGATACAAAGCATCTTATACAGAACATCCAACAAATCTGTATTTTCACATTTCAATGTGAAAATACATTGTTGGAAACCTTAAAATCAAAAGAAAATCACAAAACAGAAGCAAAATGAATTTATCAAAGTTGTTTAAAAAGCAATATTACTATCTTTAATCCTGTAGACGAACTCCTTAACCATGTTTTGGAAGTGGCTCAAATATTTTTATGTCGCATAGAAAGTTGTACCATAGCATTTTCACTTTATTGTATATATTTTTCTTATTTTACATTTGTTTTGAATTTAGATTTATTTTTATAACTTTTCCCTTTATTACTATACAAATGTTCATTCTTGTAACGAGATGTATCGATCTTCATAGCAACAATTTTATGCATGAATGTCCATGACAATGAATGTTCAATGTTTGAAAGCATTTAGACTTTTTATATATTTAGTTGTTTTTATTGCATTAAAGGAAATTAAAATATTTTAAGAATTAAAGCAATTAAGAATTCTTTTTGTATAGTTTTCCAGAGAAATTCAATGCTTCAACTTCACATAAGATAAGATCCTTAAAATTAAATTAAATCAAATTAAATTATTCCTTCTTTAGGGACGAATATAGTCTACAGAAGTAATTGATCATAATTTACTATACTGAAAATAATCACTAGACAGAAAGGTAACATACAGATATATGCACAAAACGAAATACCTCATCAGATTCTGTGCTTTGTCGTTTATTACTCGTTGCTGGCTTAAAAAATGACGAAATTGCTTGTTGTTTGCCCATTTTAAAACCACGAAACTTAATTATAAACGACAATAACATTCAAAACAAAATATGTCTGATTAAATTTGCCGCCAATTTATCACACAGGAAAGAAGAATCTACTCAAACGCTCTCTGGTGGCGAACGTCGTCATAATGGCGGAAGCAGAGTTGACGATACGATCATACGCAGTTTTTAATCATTGAAATGATATGTCGGAATTATTTTTTTCCGATTTAAAATTCTACATTCTCCCAACAGGGATAGGAAAAGTAAGAAAGGAAATATTCGAAAATCAAATTAAAAAACATGGTGGCCACGTGGTGAATAAAGTATTCGAAGCCACGCATTTAATCATCGAAGATTCCTTAGATCGTTGTAAATTAGAAAAATTCGTTAATGAGAAAGATGTAAGAAATTTAGAAATAATTAAAAGCCTTTGGTTAAGTAAATGTTTTGAGCAACGACAATTGATTGATTCAGATTCATATAAATTAAAATGTTCTGTGATAAGGAAGGATGATGATTTAATTGATTGTTGTAAACGACAGAAAGTTGAAAATGAATGTTCATTAAGTAACACTGAAAATAATCACATACAAGATTCAGGTTTCAGTTCAGAAAATACAAGTCCTATAAAGAATCAGGATTTAAATTCAGTATGTAAAATGAATAGTTATCATTTGTCTTATTTATTTTTTAAATATATAATTGATTAAAAACACTTTGTGTTAATATAGTTTTTATGATATCCTATAGCAAAACTGGGTTTGTTCCTATTCATCTAAAAGCAAGCCGACAAATTATAATAAGCATATAATAGAAAAATTGGAAGTAAGTATACATACATTTTTTTATCTTAAATATAAATTTCATAATACAATTAGAATTTATAAAAGTTTGAGAGCGGTGGGAACAACAAGCAAAGTAAGCAGCTGTTTAGGGTTCTCCAAGCCTAAAGTACTCTGAAGCTGAAAAAGTAAAAACATATTGAAATTCCATTCATAAATACTAAATGGAACATTTAAAAGATCCTAAAATTTGTTAGCACTTTGCCTTCAGATGTGTTAATTCATTTTTGTGTGATATCTAAGTGTTTTGCCTATTTACTATTATTATTTCTGAATTTTACAGTTTTTTTCTCGTCTATCTCAAATTGTATGCTTTAAAAATGTTATGGGAAAGCATTGAGATAGATGAGCTTTCTAATGTTAATTTAATTTTGATATATCTAGTAGTTATTTATTCAATGCCACAATATTTATAGTGATATAAAACAGTTTTAATACAGTACAAAGTAAAATATAATACAAATAAACATCAGAAGGGAAGTGGAAGAGCTCTTTATATTCCTTGGTCAACTTAAAAACTATGTTTTTTTTCCCTGTTACTTCTGGTCCTGTAATTCATTCAGTAACTACTCTAGGTTATAAATTCATTAATAATTGAAATTGGGAGGTAAAGATTTTTACTTTAATTTTTTAGACTGGAACAGGAGATGACCTACTGTATTGTACTGTACTGTACTTTTACAGGCATGAGAATTGTAGCCAATAGTAGCACTGCTGTGCAGTAATATCTGGTACAAGCTGCCATATTGTGGTGCTGTAAACAAACTTGTTTCAACTGCTCATGTAGCACACCAATCCTTAAAATTTTTTCAATTGTATAAAAATAGTTTATCATGAATTGGTGACTAAAAATATTTTAGCTTAAAATAAAATTAGTTTAAACAATTTAGTTTCAAATAAAAATATTTATTATTGACTTTTCAAAGTTAGATGAGGTATACACAGTAAAACTAAAACCAATTCATCATTATAAAGCAATTTATTTTTTCAAAACATAAAGAATATCTGGATAAAAATTTCACATAAGTAAAGAAAACAAACATTTAACATGTAATAGTCAAGTCAGAGAGTACATCTCTACAAGATGACATTTTTTTTTCAAAATAAGCAATGCTTAACAAAAAAACAACAAAGTTTAAAATAATCAGAGATTCTGAAAGTTAAAGTTATAAAAGACATTTATGTAAAACTTTCCAATTACAACACATGTTAACAGTATTTCATGATTTTGAAATGGTGATGTGTTATGTTTGCATATCTTAAGTGATGCAAAAAGATCAGATTGTTGACTTTGCAAGACTTCCATTCTCACAACAGATATTCAGAATTGAAGAGTTCTGTGAGATGGCAATTATGTTTAAAAATAAAATTGAAGATAAAATCTGTTTAAAAAGGAACCACCATCGTCAAAACATTGTCAAAAGTTTCTATTCCAGAACATTGAAAGTGAAATGGTGGTTCCTTTTTAAACAGATTTTATTTATAAAAATATTCAAAATTTCTGTCTCAACTTTTATCCACCATTTTTATGTATTGCAACTCTGAAACATGGATTCATATCTTAGTATAAAATACATTTGTGAGGAACCGGGTTCAATAAGATTAAATTATCAAACATTTATCAGCTATAAGTCCGCTAAACCTACTCACAATGTCAAAGGATGGTAATTTTAATAATTTTTATTGTTTTTCCTGACACCAGGTAAGATAGAAATGTCATGTCTTACCTTGCAATAATAAATTAGTTTTCGAGTCAGAGGAACTTAGATTTTTGGATAAAGGGTTTGGCATATAAATAATTTGAAATGAGACTAATTTTTAGATAAAACAAAACAAAAATGAATACAAATCCCCAATCCAAGCATGCTACTATGATTGATTTGGATGCCACAACATGGCATGAGTAGTTCACTCAGTGTCTGATAGGGGCTGAACTTTGAATGGAGAAGGATACCTCCCATTCCTCCCTGAACCAAAATGGTATTTTCCTCACAGGTAGAATGGTTTACCTTTAAAATAATTAAAAATGTTAATATTATAAATGAATAGTTCAGAAATAGATATTACAGTAGAGCCTCGATTATTCGACCCCCAATTAACCGCCACCTCGGTTAACCGACTGTCCTAGTCGGCAAATTTCAAATGTCCGCTAGTGATGTGGCACTACAATATTTGGCTATGTCTTGGCTATTTTAATATTATTTTTACGTGTTTTAGCTGGCAACACTCATTCAACCATGAAAGGGAGCCAGTATTTAAACGAGGCTTAATTTTCTAATTTTTAACGATAAAATAGCAATGATTATTATTTTAAAAAATTTTTGTTAGGCTTAACATCGATGAAAATTCAACGCAAAGTAGGTTAATAGCGATATACTAATATACTAATAACATGGGATATAATAATATACTACACTAATAATGGATTTTTTCATACTTTTCGGTTATCTGACCAACCCCAGTCCCCAATTGGGTCGGATAATCGAGGCTCTACTGTATTTTGTAGTTTTGAAATGGAATTCATTTTACAGTTATAAAAATCAAAATATTAATGATTTTGATATTTTATTTTTAAATTAAATGATTACATGATTTTATTTTAAACAAAGATATTTTATTCAAGATATAAATTTTTTTTAATACAGATTTTAGCTGAAACATATAAAAATACAAAAGATCATTGGAGAAGTTTTGGTTATCAGAAAGCTTTACTTGCTTTGAGAAATTATCCAAAGCCAATAACTAATTATGAAGTTGGTATTTTTCTATATTAATTAAAATGCTAAAATTCTGAATTCAGTTCAAAGTTTGAACATTTCTTTATTATGATTTTAAATTAGGAGGCTCTTTCTTTACCAGGAATTGGAAAGAGTCTTGCTAATAAAATTTGGGAAATTATTGAAAGTGGACATCTGAGAAAAATTGATGAAATATGTTCTGGACAAAAAGTAGAAGCAATAAACTTATTTACCAAGATTTGGGGAGCTGGACCTACAACTGCAGAACAGTGGGTACAGCAGGTAAGAATTAATTGATTTTATTTAATTTTGACTAAACAAATAATAATTTATCAAATGTAGAAATTTAATGAAAATATGATTATTATAATGAGACTAACATAAAATCAGCAATTGCTATACAATAGCAATTGCCTGCATACACTCTGAAATGTTGGGTCCTGCAACTAGAAGAAGAAATTAAGTTGGTAATAACACATATGTGTTATTACCAACTTAACACATATGTGTTATTACCAACTTAGAAGAACACAATTAAGTTGGTAAATAAGTTAAGTTGGTAATACAATTAAGTTGGTAATAACACATATGTGTTATTACCAACTTAATTTCTTCTGTCTGTCATGTCTAGAAGAAATTAAGATCATGTCTGTCAACTGTCTTGCTCTCAGAAGAACAGTTCTGCATTCCAGTTCCTTGTCCCTCAGTCCCACAAATACTGTAGCTTTGGTATGTCTTTGAACACCAAAACAATTTGTTGAAAATGCAAAAAAAAAAAAAAAAAAAAAGATTAATAATGGAAAACAATTATTACTACTTAATTCAAACTGGTCATTAATATGAAAGGTTAAACTTCTTTTCTTTTAATATTTTAAACAGAACTAGTGTCTGGATTTGTACTTTCATTTGTATCTGTCCTTTGTCTCCTTGTCACTAGAAACATTTAAAGTACTTGCTACATTTTTCGTCAAAACTTGGCCAATGCTCTATGATCGTTTAATTTTGAATATACACAATACTAAAAGCACTAAATTTATACAGTTTTCACTATATTTTTATATGTAAAATACTTAAAAATATCACAAAATGATTGCAGTGTAAAACTCTAATACTCTTTGACTGATATAACTATTTCTACACTATACCATTGTGTTAAAACACACTACAGATAATGGGATATTAATTAACTTCTTGGCGATACGATGCTTGTCTGACATGAGATTCAATAGACTTGCTTCACAAATATCGACAAATTAAGGAATATTTAATGATTGTATTATTATTTATATTTAGCTTACATTTTAAGGTTATTTTTGAATGATTTTCTGCCTTTAGGTTAAGTTTTGTCACTTTTATGGTTTTCATTATCTTGTCAAACATTATATCATGGTTTTGGTTTGTTCTGTTACTGATAAATCTGTAAACCTATAAATAACTCTAGTACATGTATAGGACATCATAAGAGGAATTGATCCAAGAATAGAATAATTATACTTTCATATCCCAAATCTGCATTGGTGCATTTATACTTCACTAGACTCAACGGTTTTATTGTGGAACCCTAAGGTTTTGCACAACACAAATTGGAAACCCGTCCTACAGGAATAAATTCTTTTATATCTTAATTCAAGGTTAAGATGTTAATGTTAGGAATGCATGCTTGCATGCATTCCTAACATTAACATTTTACTTCTGTCAGAGCTACTAAATGAATTCATTCTGTCAGATATTCCATCTAACCATATAGTCTTTGTTATTTAGGTCATATGTCAGGACATATGGAGACTGACATGATTTGTTAAATAACATAACTTTTCATACTATTTTGAACTTTTTTATTGTAAGTGTTGTACTAACAAATTGGTAAATGGTATTGAGATATTGCATTTATGAACTCAGCAAACATATGAATTCTATTGTATTTCTGGGTAATACAAGATTATTTATAAATTTATTTTATTTAAGTAAAAGAATTAAATTTTATGCTTGATTTAATTATGTAAAGATCTCTACATTTCATTTATTTATTTAATGTTTCTTGATTTCAATACATGATGCACTGCTGCTTAATTTTTTAATTTATATATAAATCAAAATATTAATAAATCAAAAATAATAAAATAAATGTGTATTTGGATTAATAAACTTAAATTATGAACAAATTCAACATATAAAACATAATTTAACATAGGATCACCAATTTAAACATTCAGTAGTTTCAAATACCAAAATAACATAGTTTAGAATGTCAGTTTAAATCACTGAAATATTACTCAAATGAACTTTTTTTGTAATTCCTCATTCAGTGATTAAATCAAATATGAAAATTTTGAAAAAATCTTTTAATATATCATATGAAAATGTCTTGTATTTTAATTACTAAGAAAATATAATACTTGTATTTATATATATATTTTAAATTCTTTATAGTTTAAGTCAATTTTTGAAAATATACATTTACTTTCAGGCTTTCTTCTAGATTGCATCAGTTTTTCAGTCTGATGTAAATTACTTTACAATTTATTTCATTATTATTTAATTGCTATAAAACAATAAACTTAATTATTTAAAATATTTATAAAATCAACTGTATCTATTCATAATATTATGATAGGAAAAAATGTGTTTGAAATAAAAAAAATATAATTATTCAAATGGCATTATCTTTCATAATTAATATGTATGTTTTTTACCAGGGTTTATATACATTAGAAGATTTAAATTCCAAGGCAAAACTGTCTTTTCAGCAAAAAATTGGATTAAAATATTTTGATGATTTTTTGGATAGAATGCCTCGAGAGGAAGCTAAAGAAATTGCAGAAACAGTAAAAATAGTTTAGTTTCATCTCTTTTACATAGAATTTTTAAACAATGATATTATTTTTTTTTTAATTTTGATAGGTAAAATCAGTTGCATTATCTTTTAATCCTGATTTAATAGTTGAAGCATGTGGTTCATATCGACGTGGCAAGCAAACTTGTGGAGATTTGGATATTTTGATTACACATGCTGATGGTGAATCACATAAAAGCATATTATCTGATCTAATTAATAAATTACATGAACAGGGTAATTATTATTAAATTTTAATAATATATTTTATTTTTTAGGCATTTGATTAAACTTCACATCTTTATTCTTGAAAAAAGAAAAAAAAAAGTATTACTTTATTAGTATTAATGTTAAAATGTTGAGTTTTAGTAGTAAATAAAATTTTATCTTGGTAACAAATTATGTATTAAGTCATCATCAATATTCATTCTAGTTCCTTCATATTAATCAGATGGCTGTGATAAGATAACATTCTCTTGAAGAATCTGTTTGAGCACATTGTAATCCTTTGAGATTTTTCATGAATAGTTCAGGTCAGACTGTTTTTTCTTGTCCTTCACTTATATTAGCTAAATCTGTTCTGAATCTAGTTCATAAGTAAAATTGAGGTTAGCTCTATACTGTAGTCTATATTTTATATTAACAAATTATTCTGTTTCTCTATCCTTTTACACTGTCTGATATATAATATAAAAAATATTTTTTTATTCTTGAATAAACAATTGAAAGATAAAATAATACCACAAAGTCTTTTCTTATATGTATTCATGAATGATTTTTCATATTTAATTAATCTGAGATATGATGTCAAGTCAAGAAATCACCCAGAATTAATTTTTCTCTCAGATGTTGATAGATAAAAAATTATGTTCAACAACCCAAACAACTGGATATAGCACCCAGAAATTTAATCACAAAAAAAAAAGAAAAAATAATACAAAAGGAAAATGTTAATAAACAATACTAGCTGATGCTTTCTTTTGTATTAAATGGTCATCATCATGCTAATGACCTTCAAAAGCTCAGATGCACCTGATAAAGCAAAAATAGTAAGTTCTTAACACTGGTGGTTGCTGTCTACATGTACATGATACACAGGATGACATAGGGAAAGAGTTGTAAAACTAAACATCATAGTATATCCTTCATATCAGTGGAAAGGAGTTGCCATCTTTAAAGTTGATTGCTGTATTTTTTCTAACTGCTTTTAATATTTAAGCTGTTCCTTATGGAAGATGTAATGTAGGAGGCAGACTTTTTTAAGATGCACCTGTGTCTGAGTTGGAAGCATATGTTGCCAGGGCTGTGGTGTAGGTCCTTTATTGACAGATGCTTGGTGCTCCTTGAGATAGATGCTTAATGGTCGGCCTGTAGCTCCCATATATTCCAAGTTGCAGTTAGATCTGTGATCAATAAGGGGGATAGTATACAGCCCTGGGAGGAACCACATGTCAAGTTGATTCTTAGCATTACAGAAAAAGGTGAAAACAAAGAGACTTCTGAAAGCCAGGCAGAAGTTGTTATTTCTGGCAATCTCCTTGTAAAGGGCAGACAGCCTTTTATCATATGTAACTGCTTTGATGATAGTGTGGGACAATTTCAAGATGGCGTTTGAATGAGGATATATAAGACTTTTGATGATATCCTGGAGTAACCATGCTTTCTGGATTATTGAGTGATAGTTCATACTTCATTGTTCCTGTCTAGAGCATTGGGTGAATGGATGTATACTTATCATATAAAGGTGCTAAAGCCAGCTATCTTGAAGAAATAAGAGTTGTGAGATGGGGTTGGGATGACAATTAGGTGGTGTATAGAAATTAGTTGATATGCGTCCATTAGATAGTATAAGATGGAGGTCAAGAAGTGCATTTCTCATGCATTGTTCTGTTTCAGACAGAGGCAGAGGCCATAGAGATTGGAGTTGATTTAATGTATGAACTCGTGTACAGGTTTTTTGTTACCACAAGATAAGAATGTTCCAAATGTAACGTGCATAGAAGAGAATAAGCTGGTCAAAGGTGGAAAGAACCACCAAGACCTCCAACTGTTGAATATTGCGTTCACATAACATGCCTGAGAGAGATCTATCCATAGGCTCTGCTAGGTAGCTACTGTTATTTATTAATATTTTCCTATTGAATTTTTCTTTTTTGTTTTATTTTATTTTTTTACTTAATTTTAAGAAATTATGTACTTATGACAAAATTAGGTTTAGAAGTAAATGGAAATCTTGGTTTAGAGCCCATCTCATAAAAATTTTGATAATTAAAATTAATTTTAGAAAATGTTTAATATATGAAATTGATTGAAATAGCATTTGAATATTGATCTGGAATAGCATTTAAATTCACAATTCTTACAAACTGGATTATATTTCTAAGTTAAATCATCTGTTTTACGCCAAGCTTCATTTCCTTATATAAATGTGATCTGTGTTAAAAAGTAGTAAAAATCATTAATCTGATTTTTACTACTTTTGACTTTTAAAAATCTTTAAAAATGATGATTGTGTAAAAAATTTAAATTTTTCATTTTTCAACATAATCCTCATCTAGAGTGGCACATTTCTCTAAATGCTCAATTCATTCCATCTGGTGTAAAGTAACAATTAGAAGTCTGATGGTAAGAGATTTGGGCTGCAAGGAGGATGAAGAAAAACCTATAACTTCAGGTTCTTATTGTGTCTTTACTGTTTCCTTTTTGGGCTGCAATTTGAAAGAATTGTAGACCTGTAAATTTCCATTGTAATTTATCTGCTTGTCTGTCTCTCCTTAATCTTGAGAACAATGTTAGATAGATAAAAGTCAGATTTGAAAAGCTTAGGGCAGAAGGCCCCAATTAACTATATGCAAACTTCGGTCTAGATTGGAAGTTACATGATAGCAATTCAGAAATAGAATTACATAGATGACTGGCATTATTCTGTTATCAGGATGTACAGGGGCAAAACACTAGTAATTTGAGATAAAAAAACATATATTTTAAATTAAATAAATTAAGAATATGATTAAAAATTGCAGCCTGACATTGTGACAATATCACAATAATTTTTGCTTGTTACATTATGGTCTTGCATTGTCTTAGAACAAGATGGCTTTTCTGGCCTTACTCTACAAATACATCTCTTGAATACTCAATAAAGTTTCTTAATACTTAATTAAATTAATTCTCTCTCCCTTTACTAGATTCTCCATGTAAACTCCTTTTCCATTCCAAAAAATTATTATGAAATTCTGAGCAACAGGAACAGTTTTCAAGTTACACTGGGCATAGAATAAGGTTAATAATACTGAATCAGCTGTCTTTTATTTTCTGGGTCAAAATAATGAACTCTTAGCTTATCTTTGCTGATGATTTGTGTGAGAAAATTATATCCTATATCAATGGAAACCTTATACAGTCTGCATATCCCTTACATGAAAATAGGAAATTTCGTATACCTTAAATGGCTAAAAATGGTTTATTTACTTTATTACAGACTAGAAAGTTTATTCAGTTGATTATTAAATCACCATTGCAAATAAAACGTTTTAATAAGTGTTCCATTATCATGATTTTTAATTATTAATTTGCAATTTAAAATACTACAACACTTATTTTAGCAATACAGATGCAAAATTAACTAATAAAAAGGATTAAAATAACTAGGTCTTCATAAATGTGTAATATAATATAATATGTAAAATATCATAAGGTAAAATAGAAAAATCCTCTATAAACTGACTGCTCTGTAATGCTAAATACACTAAAAAAAACCATTCTAAAAAATTCTACTTTTAGAAGCCATAATTTAGAATGAAGAGTTTTAGAGAAACCATCAAGACACAAGGTTATGATTTAACATAAAGAAAAACAGGAGATGACTTTTGCACAATTATGTGGTTCTTCTAAGGGCTGGCAAGAACAAGTCATTGGTCATAATGAAGCAAGAGATATAAGGAAGCATTTTACACTAGTATATTGTGCAAATGAGGTGTGAAATTATACAAGACAACTATCTAGACAAGCTGCAGGCCTTATTGTGTCTTTACTGTTTCCTTTTTGGGTTGCAAATGTAATAAAGTTCAAGTGTTTGAAAGCTTCTCAAACACTTAAAACTGGACAAAGTGGTGGTGGAATCTCCTGATATTCTAAAATTGTATGCTTTTGCAAGAGCCCACAAATGTAGGCAGGAACAGAACAATACTCAATAAGGCAAGATTTCCAACCCAGAATTTAGAGAGATCTATGCACAACCTATTAGTCTTATGTCTTTAAGGATACCCATGCATCATTGCCAGTTCATATAAGTTAACATTGACAAATCTCTAGGGGATAAATTACAATCTTAGATTTCAAATCTTTATACCCCTCAATAAAAATAAAGCCTTGTTTCTGCACCCTGCAGGATTGGTTAACACATAAGGTTCTTAATAGTGCACTCCATTAGTTAATATTGAAATTGGCACATCTTTTGTTACTCATCTTCTTTTCAATTTGACACTTGCATCTACATACAAAAGCAGGGAATATCCTTGGGTAGCCCCTCTAGTTGAGGACCTTTGTGAAATTGTCATGCACTATTTCAAGCTGGAGATATTCCTAAGCTTCCTTCCAAACATCTTGATATATAAAAGGCACATAGATGACATCATCATCTGGTGATCAAACCTGACATCAATGCCTTCCTGTGATGAATGAATGACAAACTATATGGCCTATTGCTAGAAATAGAGCAGATGAATAGCACAGAAGCTCATTTTATGGATCTTAGCATCAGTTTTATTGAGGACTGAATCAAGACAATGATTTATGACTGATTTATCACAAAGCTGATTCCTGCCCACTATAATTATCAGTATGCTCTCATGAACCTTATGTTTACACAGTGGCTTTTTTCTGAGTCCTCACTAAAAGAGCATGCACATACACATTGTTCAATGTGACAGATAAAGAAGCTGAACTGTGACAGATCACACAGATAGCCTGGGCACATGGCTTTGATGAGCACTTAATTTCACAATTATCTGATAAGTATAAGCCCAGAGTAACAATAGTAACAATATACTGTAGATGACAACATTGACAACAGGGAGCACATGAACAATGAGGAGGTTAATTACTTATGAAGATCACTTGCATGCAATATGTAAACAAATAGCAAAACATAAAGGTGCTTACATTGAATATAGACATGACCCAAATATATATCCACTACTAAAAAATAGGAAATATGCCATAAACAAAGAAAGGGTACAGTACATGGGTTTATACGATGCTCTTGAAGGATGATAGATTTGTCAGAGACTTAGTTTACATATATGCCACAAAAAGATCCCTCAAGCAGTGTAAAAGAGCACAGACACCATTCCTGCTCTGTNCCAATAACTAATTATGAAGTTGGTATTTTTCTATATTAATTAAAATGCTAAAATTCTGAATTCAGTTCAAAGTTTGAACATTTCTTTATTATGATTTTAAATTAGGAGGCTCTTTCTTTACCAGGAATTGGAAAGAGTCTTGCTAATAAAATTTGGGAAACATATAAAAATACAAAAGATCATTGGAGAAGTTTTGGTTATCAGAAAGCTTTACTTGCTTTGAGAAATTATCCAAAGCCAATAACTAATTATGAAGTTGGTATTTTTCTATATTAATTAAAATGCTAAAATTCTGAATTCAGTTCAAAGTTTGAACATTTCTTTATTATGATTTTAAATTAGGAGGCTCTTTCTTTACCAGGAATTGGAAAGAGTCTTGCTAATAAAATTTGGGAAATTATTGAAAGTGGACATCTGAGAAAAATTGATGAAATATGTTCTGGACAAAAAGTAGAAGCAATAAACTTATTTACCAAGATTTGGGGAGCTGGACCTACAACTGCAGAACAGTGGGTACAGCAGGTAAGAATTAATTGATTTTATTTAATTTTGACTAAACAAATAATAATTTATCAAATGTAGAAATTTAATGAAAATATGATTATTATAATGAGACTAACATAAAATCAGCAATTGCTATACAATAGCAATTGCCTGCATACACTCTGAAATGTTGGGTCCTGCAACTAGAAGAAGAAATTAAGTTGGTAATAACACATATGTGTTATTACCAACTTANAAAAATAGGAAATATGCCATAAACAAAGAAAGGGTACAGTACATGGGTTTATACGATGCTCTTGAAGGATGATAGATTTGTCAGAGACTTAGTTTACATATATGCCACAAAAAGATCCCTCAAGCAGTGTAAAAGAGCACAGACACCATTCCTGCTCTGTTAATATATGCCTCTGACAATAGCAGTGAGGCTGAACATGACTAGGCAAGTATGATACATTACACCTAGCATAATGACTATATTAGAGATTTATAGGTCTTGGAGATCTTTAAAGCATTCCAGTTAGGCAACTGTATTAACCATAAAGACGAAAAACAAATTTTGTGCACATGGTAGGTGCACTTTGATCTGACCTTAACACCTCACTGCTGCCCATTCATACCTTTGTATTCCTGATTGGTTTATCCATATTTATAACGTATTCAAATTTATTGATTTAAATTTGAATTTTGAAGAATTTTTTTTACTCTTTTCAAATTTTAACAATATAAATTTAAATTCAGCAGATGTTTCGTTTGAAACATTCCATTATAGAACATGTATCTTTAAACCTGATACAGATTTCAGGAGGAGGACAAAAACATTTGTATTGTATTAAAACATTATATTACTGGAAGGACAGGTTTTTTGTAATNGCAATTGCCTGCATACACTCTGAAATGTTGGGTCCTGCAACTAGAAGAAGAAATTAAGTTGGTAATAACACATATGTGTTATTACCAACTTAGAAGAACACAATTAAGTTGGTAAATAAGTTAAGTTGGTAATACAATTAAGTTGGTAAATAACACATATGTGTTATTTACCAACTTAATTTCTTCTGTCTGTCATGTCTAGAAGAAATTAAGATCATGTCTGTCAACTGTCTTGCTCTCAGAAGAACAGTTCTGCATTCCAGTTCCTTGTCCCTCAGTCCCACAAATACTGTAGCTTTGGTATGTCTTTGAACACCAAAACAATTTGTTGAAAATGCAAAAAAAAAAAAAAAAAAAAGATTAATAATGGAAAACAATTATTACTACTTAATTCAAACTGGTCATTAATATGAAAGGTTAAACTTCTTTTCTTTTAATATTTTAAACAGAACTAGTTTCTGGATTTGTACTTTCATTTGTATCTGTCCTTTGTCTCCTTGTCACTAGAAACATTTAAAGTACTTGCTACATTTTTTGTCAAAACTTGGCCAATGCTCTATGATCGTTTAATTTTGAATATACACAATACTAAAAGCACTAAATTTATACAGTTTTCACTATATTTTTATATGTAAAATACTTAAAAATATCACAAAATGATTGCAGTGTAAAACTCTAATACTCTTTGACTGATATAACTATTTCTACACTATACCATTGTGTTAAAACACACTACAGATAATGGGATATTAATTAACTTCTTGGCGATACGATGCTTGTCTGACATGAGATTCAATAGACTTGCTTCACAAATATCGACAAATTAAGGAATATTTAATGATTGTATTATTATTTATATTTAGCTTACATTTTAAGGTTATTTTTGAATGATTTTCTGCCTTTAGGTTAAGTTTTGTCACTTTTATGGTTTTCATTATCTTGTCAAACATTATATCATGGTTTTGGTTTGTTCTGTTACTGATAAATCTGTAAACCTATAAATAACTCTAGTACATGTATAGGACATCATAAGAGGAATTGATCCAAGAATAGAATAATTATACTTTCATATCCCAAATCTGCATTGGTGCATTTATACTTCACTAGACTCAACGGTTTTATTGTGGAACCCTAAGGTTTTGCACAACACAAATTGGAAACCCGTCCTACAGGAATAAATTCTTTTATATCTTAATTCAAGGTTAAGATGTTAATGTTAGGAATGCATGCTTGCATGCATTCCTAACATTAACATTTTACTTCTGTCAGAGCTACTAAATGAATTCATTCTGTCAGATATTCCATCTAACCATATAGTCTTTGTTATTTAGGTCATATGTCAGGACATATGGAGACTGACATGATTTGTTAAATAACATAACTTTTCATACTATTTTGAACTTTTTTATTGTAAGTGTTGTACTAACAAATTGGTAAATGGTATTGAGATATTGCATTTATGAACTCAGCAAACATATGAATTCTATTGTATTTCTGGGTAATACAAGATTATTTATAAATTTATTTTATTTAAGTAAAAGAATTAAATTTTATGCTTGATTTAATTATGTAAAGATCTCTACATTTCATTTATTTATTTAATGTTTCTTGATTTCAATACATGATGCACTGCTGCTTAATTTTTTAATTTATATATAAATCAAAATATTAATAAATCAAAAATAATAAAATAAATGTGTATTTGGATTAATAAACTTAAATTATGAACAAATTCAACATATAAAACATAATTTAACATAGGATCACCAATTTAAACATTCAGTAGTTTCAAATACCAAAATAACATAGTTTAGAATGTCAGTTTAAATCACTGAAATATTACTCAAATGAACTTTTTTTGTAATTCCTCATTCAGTGATTAAATCAAATATGAAAATTTTGAAAAAATCTTTTAATATATCATATGAAAATGTCTTGTATTTTAATTACTAAGAAAATATAATACTTGTATTTATATATATATTTTAAATTAAATAAATTAAAAATATGATTATAGTTTTGCATAAGAATGAAC